TCAAATCGCTCGCTACGAAAACAATATTTCATGAATTAAACTCAGAATTGCCCCATCTCCTAGCGACGCTAATATCTCTGATTTAAAAGACTTGGATTAAGTGATGAGATAATCACGGAAAGTGGAGCGTACATGGACGCATGGAAATCGAAAGATTAGAAAAGCACTAAATTGATTGTGCGAAAGAAAGACCAGATTTGCAAAGAAAACAGAAGCTTTTTACGTATTTAGTCCTAGGAGTAATTGGCCAATGTATATTAGAAATCAAGACCGCTATTTTTTATAAGGTCTTCGATGTGTATCGCTGGCTGTTACGAATGCAAGAGTAAATCTTCGATTGCCTTTATATAAGATCTGAAGATAATTAAAGTTACATCATGAGTTTCTTGCTAAAGATTTTAATAGTGATTCCTTTCGACGGCCATAAAAGCTTCTTAGTAAGAAGAAAAATAAAAAAAAGTTAAACGTGAATAATTTTCTTTTATCCCGCCATCGTCGTAATTAAGAAGTGTAGCGTTTACTTTTATGCATAGTTAGAATTAAGACTGTATGAAATTTCCCTATCTTTAAAATATTAGTTGTCGTATAGCACATATTAAAGTTACTTTGTCGGCTCTACGTGTGCGTTCTGCAAAAAGAATTGTTTTTCTTTCTCTTTCTCTGAACAAATGCCCATTTTAGTGCAAAATGAATTTGACATTGAAAGCAATTTTTTTTTTTTTTTTTTTTTTTGTAAGTGCACACTTGTAAACAACAATGCTAACAATATTCACATGCGTCTACAAATGAGATAGAATTGCAGGTGATAAAAAGCTGAAAACGAACAAAAACCCAGTGTCAACTAGTTAATCCCTTAACACATTGTTTTATGTTATCGGTGTTATATAAAGCAGCAAGAAAAAAGATACCTAAAAATGAAGCGAACAAAAAGCAACATACTATCACACGAAAGCTTGACTTTTTTTAAACGCCATACCCCACCATTATTTCATTATGTCTATAGAGAGTGCTAAAGTTGCTGTATGGCTGAACACATGCCGTGTACGTGTTTCAATAGATACGAAATAAAAAACCAGAAGAGGTATTACTCTATTCCTTCCATGCTTTTTGTCAAAGTTACGCATTTGTCAATAATAATGTTTGATGGCAGTGGGTGGATGATTGTATGACTCGAATTTAATCCACTTTTCGTATAACAAAGTTCGATACTTGCAAATGGACCATTGTGTGCACGTTACACTTTGTCTTTGCACATATTTACGTTTTAAGGTTTATTCTGAATAGATTACCAAATAAAAACAAAACTTTTTCTTGCGGAACATTTACCAAAAAAAGATAATTTACTTAAAATGAAGTAAAATAGAACAACCTTTTATCTAACTAAACTCATATATTGTTCGGCAAATCATTTCGTTGTTCGCGAAAAATCGATTTAATTGTACTTTTTCAAAGCCAAGCTGACACTTAAGCAGCATTTTCACTGCTAACTCTCGATGAAGTAAAAATGATATTCAAGCAAGAAAAAAAATAATGGAAAGTGTTTGTTTTTTAGAAAACTTCATTCCGATTCAGTTTCGATACTGAAGATGTATCACGTTCTAGAAGGTCATGTGAAGTGGATGAAGACAAAATAAAAGGATTAACTGATGCAAACCGACGAACAACAATTTTTAAAATCGCGCGGAAATTACATTTATTGAGTTCGACAATTCATAGTAATATATTTATCCACTATAAAAAAGTAGCCTTTCATTTTGATTAAAAAGAAAAAAGGAAACGATTTTCCAAGCAACCCAATATATGAATAAAGTCATGCAGAATATTAAAAATTTTGAATTCCGTATGTGTTATGAAAATTTTAAGTCGCTATAGTTACTTCTTTACTTTTTTTACGCTTCAAAATACTTTCGAGATGTAATATTTTTGATAACGATTCACTATAGCATTTCTCATATTTTTGCAAAGTTTAAAGTTTATGTAAGAAAGAGTCTTCTTCTTCTTCTTCTTCTGGACATTAAAAGTTATGTTGTCGTTCGCACGTGAATTGTGGTGCGTTAAGAGAAAATGTTACCTTCTCAACACTAAATATCATGGGCCATTTACTATTCAGCGGACGTAACAGTTGTCGTGTGTTAAGTATGTTACGTCTGATTATTAAAGAAAGTTCTTTTAAATATAACAAGTAAATTAATCACTTTGAGCTGTGAACGGTTTAGGCATTTGTATAATCTAAGTCTCTCGTATAACACGTATTTATGTAATACGGAACGAATGTACCATGTTGCAGGGAGAGGTCTACTCGACGAAAACGATATTTGTGGAACGATTCCCTTCGAAGCATCAGTTTTATTTTCAAGGATTTCCTTGCCTTCAATGCTTAAACGATTTACTTAATTTACTTTAACAGTACTTCCGTAATAGTGATCATCATGGAAAAACGTCAGAGTTTTGGAACATTTTAATTTAGACCTAGATCACAAAATTATAATCGGCAACGATGTTTACATCTACCATTCTTATATTAAAAAAAAAGTAGAAATATCTGAAATTTTTATATTGGATGCGTATGATTAATTTCTTCCATTTGCATAGATACGGTAGGATCGTCAACAGAACTGGTGCGGAGATTCTATTGTTACCTCTCTTGTCATTTATGAAAAACAAGCGAAAACGCAGTTTAAGGTAAATATTGTAGCTGTGTTCATTCATCGATTTGGTCCAATTTCAATACTAATCTGAGTAGAAGAAGCTTTCTTATATTAGTTTGGGGAAAAAGAAATCCATTATTTTTATATGAACTTGAGGACTTTATTTAACATGTTTCGGATTGTCCGATTTGGGTCAAATATGCACCGTTTTGTTGTATGATTTGTTGCCATTTTAAAGGTAACTTCAAAATGCCCCTCTCATAGAAGTCCTGGTCTATATTTGCAAAAACCCTAGTAGTCGATTTTCACAATCCTCCCTAGATTCCAATTTTTTATCATTAAAGAAATTTTGCAATGCAAGAAAAAGATGATAATCGCTTGGTGCCAAGTCCGGACTGTATGGCGGATGCATTAAAACTTCCCAACCAAGCTCCCGAAGTTTCTGGCGAGTCACTGTAAATATGTGTGGCCTAGCGTTGTCCTGGTGGAACACGACACCTCTCCTGTTGGCCAATTCTTGGCCATTTCTCATCTCCAGTCACCATCCGTTTAAGAAATGGGTCTATCTCATTCCGTTTGCCAAGGCTTCGCAGATGGAAATTCGATCCATCATGTTTTTTTCTGTTAATTGGTGTGGCATCCAAACATCGAGCTTCTTTTTGAATCCAGCTTTGTGTAAATGGTTTACACAACTGCTAACATGCCGGTCAACTTCGATCATTTCTCCGATTTTATCGAGATTTTCGACGACCGGCCTACCTGTGCGAGGTGCATCTTTAACATCAAAAATTCCTGAACGGAATCTGCGAAACCAAAACTGCACATAATTGGCTGTTACAGTATCGGAACCATAAGCACCATTCACAATTTTAGCCGCCTGGCTTGCATTTTCGCCTTTGTCAAAGAAAAACTGTAAAATGTACCGAATTTTCTCTTTGTTCACTTCCATTTTTAACACGCTGTAACTCACAACTGAATGCACCAAACAAAAAACAGCAAAAGAATTTTTTTTACTGCGAAATGTCACCTTTCCAACGAGCATTGAAATTGTTTGATCGATACTTTACGAGAAATCTATCAGTGCAGCCATCTACCGAAAAAATAATGGATTTCTTTTTCCCCAAACTAATATATATATATACCTTACAACTCTTCTGAAGGTTTCGTGTAATGTCACAGCCGTTTTGATAAAATAAAGACACTTCGTTGACGAGGATGAAAATGTAGTTGGCTATTAAACGAGCACATTTGAAAAAATCTGACAAAAACCAATTATAAAATCCAGTCAAAAAACTACTTCTACATGCTTAGGTGGAGCATGTTATCAGGTGAGTCGAAATTTGAGGTCAATTGGTGCGCTCGAATAACACAATATTCGATTGAAGTTCTGAGTAGCCGTAGTTTTATGTGTTTTAAGCAGCAACTTCACTCGCAAAACCGGTTTTTTGAACCATGCAGAGATTTCAAACCGCGGTGCGATCATTTGAATATCATTCTTTGAGATTTCAAGATATATTTACGAGAACAAAAAAAAGTTGTGAAAAAGTAATATCAAATTAATATTGCCTTTGAAGTGAAAACCAAAATGTTTTGTAAGCGTTTAACAGGCGTGAATCTTGCTTGCGCTTCAAGCACGAAAACGGCAAAGGAGGGCTTTTGGTTAATTTCAGAAATTAACTCCTAAACAAATATCCGCCGATTATGAAGCGAAACTTTATAAAGGAAAGTGTGCCAGAGGTGTTTTGCTCACTAGATTTTGATCTTGAAGATGCTTCTTCTTCATCTCTGCTCATTTAATCACTGTTGACGTTGATCAAATCAAGAATTTTATAAAATTCGACCGATATTTGATGACCGCGTATTCGCGAATCGGATAAAATCTGAAAAATGGCGTATAAGCTGTTTAGTCACACTTTTACTCCATAACAAATCGATCTTTATATGACGTAAAATGGACAGTTTTATGAAGATATACACTAGATTAACGGATTCGTCACGTAAAACATATTTAATTTTACTATTATATGCATTTGTTTACTATTAAATAAAATACACATCCTGAGTGGCCTGAATGGCCGAGTAGGCAAGAGTCTCGACTAACAACTCAGTGGTCCGCGAGTTCAAATCTCAAATGCGGTATCGTTTTTAATAAAGCCGAAAGCCTTTAGATGCTAGTGCTTTAAGACTTTAGTCTTAGAATTGATCCTCTCACTAAATTAATAATAATAAGAATAATAATAAATAAAATACATAATTATCTCTTTCAAATTTGAGAGGAAATCTTGAGTTCATATAAAAAATATTTTCTATTTAGTTTTATGTTTTCATTTCATTTAAAAATTGCACGCTTACCATTAGTTGTGTCTTTTGGAGCTGTGGCATTAGTCTGATTGCATTGCAATATATCGGATAATGACAATGATGAGGCGATCAGTTGACGTTTCTCTTCAAAGTTTAAATAGTCCAGCGAGTTGCTACGTTGCGGTGTAACAGTTATTGTAACCGATTTTTGCATTTTGGCCACCACACAAAGTTGTTGCTGTTGCTCCTCACCACCACCGCCAACACCACCACCGCCACCGACAACCCCACCATTACCATTACCACAGCTGTTATCCGCAACAATACCATTACTGTCACCATCTTCAACGATCGTTTTGGTAGATGCGGTTAATAGCATACCATTGTTATGATGATGATGATGATGGTGGTGATGATGAGTTTTCATGTCACCGCTCTGTACTTGCTGCTGTTGAGTTTGATAATGATTAATGAAGTGATATGGCGGATTTTGTGCAATAGCCGCTGAATACGATGGTGGTGCCGCTAACAGCGCCGATGATGTAGATGCTGATGGGGTTGGTGATGCTTTGCTGCCGCTGCCGCCGCCGCCACCACCACCACCGTTTCCGAATCCACCATAGGTATGCTGATCATTAGCATTAATGGCTGCCACCAATGATGCCAAATTATTACGACTATTATTTAGTAAATTTGTTGCATTTGTCGAACTGGGCAATGTGACCGCCGATGCTGTTGATAACGCTGATGATGATGGCGGAGGTGATTGTGATAGTTGCTGTTGCTGTTGTTGAAATTTATGCTGTTGTTGCAATTGTGCTAACAACTGTTGTTGTTGTTGCTGATATTGGGGCGGCGGTAAATATTGTTGTTGTTGTGTTTGATGTTGCATTTGCGGTGTCTGCGGTTGATAGTTATTGGTAGCTTTTATTTTATTGCTACGCATTGACATTTTTATATAACTTTATAAATATGTTGATATGTTTAATTACACATTTAATTTATTTAGTTTTTTTGGTTTTATTTTATCTAACAGAAGAAAGGCATTACCTGTTTAATTAATCTCTTGCATGATTTAATAGTTTTCCTTGCTGCTAAGCGGTCTTATCATTTTAATGAGCCTAATGAATTTCGCTAGAAGTAATGAGAATTATCGTGATGCCTAATTGCTATTGAAGGGAAGTTAATTTGTTGTTTCACCCTATCTCTTAAAGGTTTTTATTTGACTACCATTCCCTCAGCGCGCTGTTCTGTTTATGTTCTATTCATTTTACTTGCAAGAATCATAGGTAAATGCTTTCTCATTGTAAATTCACAGAACTATGATTCGTATTTTTGCAATAAAATTTTTCAAATTTTATTGACTCCATAAATAAATTATTTTTGTAAGCAAATTCACATAGGTTTTTAATATTTACAGTAGATTTTTGTCTGATTTTTCCTTCTTTATACCCACCACTGTAAGATGGGGGTACACTCATTTAGTTTTTTTCCATAATGCTTGTAACACCCAAAAGGAAGCTTCAGAGACCCTATAAGGTATATATATATATAGTTGATCAGCGTGAAATTCTGAGTTGATGTAGCCATGTCTGTGTGTCTGTTTGATGTGTTCAGGTCGTAAAAGTGAAGACATCGACCTCAAACTTGGTAGAAACATTGAAAGTTCCTGCACTTAGGTTGATATTGAAAATGGGTTAAATTGGCCATAGCAGAAGCGCGGAATGCGGCGTACTTTGTTGGATTTTCGCTCGTTACCCGGAAATTATTCAAGTTGGAAGGCTGAGACTTTCAGCATTTACTTTACGAGACCCTTTATTCTCTAGGCCGAAAAATGGAAATAATCGGTCTTATCCACATAAAGTCACAAATAATTTAATTTAATTTTTTTCACTTTTTTGAGAGTTTACGCTTATTTATCATAAGGCAAACAAGACGAAATATTTAAACCACTACTTTATGTACTCCTCAAGAAGATCCTCCCCCTCCTTGGCGAATTAAGATAAAGATCTACCTAAAAATGGATTCATTTTAAAATGAATATGGTAGACACCGCGATTAATTTTTTCTTAATAATACCAACGATATAAGTATCAATAAAAAAAAACTTGGAGAGTAGAATGCGAAAAGCATAGTGGTGGGTATGCGGGATTTGTCCCTCGCCGAATATAACTTTCTTACTTGCTGCTTGTTATAATAATTTTTTTTCATTATTGCTCATCAAATATTTCTCATGAAGAGCGACAGAAAGAAAGGGAGTCGTTCTCTTATAATACAAAAGTTTTTTGTTAAAGTATCGGTATACTTTTGTAAAAGTATAATAGTATTTAAGCGAGGGCTTATACAAAATCTTCAATGTTTCGCAAAAGCATTCACAAAAGAGAGGAAGGGAGAAAAAATTTATGCACTACGCGCAGTCTCATTACAGCGTTGCTGCGGAATCGTGTGTCCACAGAGAGTGCTTATCGTTTCTCATGTCTTTTCTAAAATTTACAAAAAAAATTTTAAACAATTTTTCCTATCGACCGTAGCACACTCCACCACGGATCGGATTGTTAAGAACTTTTCAATATTTTAATGATATAGCTCTAAATGATTTTCAAACCTTTAATTTTGCAAAGAGATCGAGAGCCATAGGAAATTTCCTCGACCCTTATTATTATTTTAACGGGGCCTATACTATTTTTATACGTTTAGCTACAGTAACAGGGTTTTGATTAAATAAAAAAATAAATGTTTCGACTTTTTTTTTATTAATATTTAAGCGAAAAACATTATCACCAATTATTGATTTTTCAAGCCTGATATTAAGGTGGCACTTAAGAAACTTGTATAAAAAAAGCAATTGCCATTATTGTGATTTTTGAACCATTAAGCTTTTGGGCGACAGACTAATTACTGTTTTTTACTATATTCACGCGTATAAGTAAGAGTGTATAATTACTCGACAGTATGCCAAGCATTGTACAAAAAGTTTCCGGAGTTAGAAAGGTATTTTGGAAAGTTTATGAACACTTCAGCTTTATTTAAAACTCACGAGGCAAAATGTGTCTAATTTAAGCAGTGTATTTATGGAACTGTGCAATTATATAAAATTACATGCAAGCAAATATTTCTGCGACCAAAAAGTAATAGGTCTAATGAGTATATCCTGACGTTGTGTGACTGTTGACACTAGTCATAGGATAAAACAATGTGTTTCCTTGCTATAGCTTTTTTTTACTTTGTATCAATTTTTATATTCCGAAATAACATAATCATAACAAAATATTTCAATAAAAATTGCAGTATAAAATAAAGTTGTTGTAAAGTCGCGTAAATCGCAAACTAAAAATGACTTATGACTTGTGATGTCTCTCCGATTTTGCACAGACTACGGCTATAAGTTTTATTTAACTACCGCGATTTAAGGCATTATGATGTCATTCCACCGGACCAAACAGTTAAGAAGAAATATTATATTGAGCGTTATTATCACATTTACATACACATAGCTATTTGCCAGAATTATGGGCTCCCGAAATCGAACTTATATCGTTACGCAGCTGCCATTAAATTTAGCATTGCAGGAGTTATGGCAATTCGCGAAACTCAAGAAACCATTTTCCGATCACATAATTTTGACTCTACTAAAAACAAATAAACTCGGGAGAAAGGAGTTGTGGTGAATTTCTTTTTTAGCTTGCGAAAAAGGAATCGCTTAGTGCGTGTCTTTTTTTCAAAGAGTCTAAATGTGCTTATCAGTGTCCGTTTGCCTTGTGACCGAAGTCCAAATCTTTTGGTGGACAGAAAAAAAAATTAAAAAATTGATATTCATCGCCGGCAATTCTATATAATATTGTAAAAACGCAAGAGATTTATTTAAACAGAGCTAATATTGGATTTTATAAGCTCAGAAGTGCATATTAACTATTTAGACTTACTATAGAATAATGGCAGAATCTATCCAAAAAGTTTGAAATTCAATCTAAATACTGCTAGTGATGAATTGTCGGTCATTTTTACACAAATCAGCACGATTTTCTATAATAATAAAAACTTGTGCAAAAGTTATAAGAAAACAAGTAAAAACGCTATAGCGATGAATACCCTACACCAACCTACATAACAGTTTTATTCATATAACGACTTTTCTGTGCAAATAGTCGGAAAAGTGGACCGATATGAACCATTTCCAATAGCTTTTTCCTTTGGGTCAAAACAAGCATATCAATGTACCAAATTTCATGAAAATATCCCAAAAATTGCGACCTTTAGAATGAATATAAGAAAACAACTCAGTGGAAACGGACAGACAAGCTCAATTCAGTATAACAAAATGTGGCCCTATCTCAAGTCCTTCGCGAAGCTGATATAGCTGGCATAGGGTGTAAAAAAAAAAAGAAAAGGGAAATAGGGAAAAATATAAAAGTAAAACAATGTACCCTCAAGGAATTTTATAAAGATCCTTTTCGTGAAGGGTCTTAGTTGTTGTATGCTTTTTTAGAGATTACATATATTGTAAAATTAGATTTAAATACTTTTGAGACGTTTCGAACTGTGGTACAATCTATATAAACTATTAAAGCCAGAAACGTCATGCACGCTTTAAAAAAGTTTACAAATGATACAAATTTTTTCACAAAATTCTTCTTTTTTCTTCTTAATATTAAGACAATTTGGCGTACGCTAATTTTCAACTTTTTTATGATCAATCCCAATCAATCCTAAGCAATCCAATGACTTGACAAAATATTCGAATCACATATAAGTTGGATAAAGTTTTTGTGTCAATGTAAAGGGGGAAAATAAAAGATGCGGGCGAATATTAAGACTATACAGGCAATGAATTGAATTTTTCGATTATATATATTCACTCTCAAGAAGTCCATTAGTGCCTCTAATTGCCAGGAGACTACTAAATGTTTATATAGTACAAAAATTAATTTAATTTTGAATATTTTTTTGACCAATGTAAATTCGAAAATCAAGAAAATCACTTCATGGAATCCCTTCATGGAATATTGTTTTAACAACTTTTAATTTGATCTTTAATTTTTCTTTAATAAAATCTATGCATCCATTTCAAATATGAGTTCGTTCGATCGAGAGGATTCTTCTCTAGTATCTTATGTAAATAAGCGGAAGAACGTATGGATACTCTTATTAGTTTGTACAATTATTTATAAAAACAATTGACGAATTACATGATTTCACCTATAAACAATATGTGATATCGATAAGCCAAAGTGCTTGTTTCGTTTTAAATCAAATTGAAAGAGAAAATGGAAAATCGCTTAACAGTAGGTCATCCCTAAACTGAATTGATCATAAAAATTCGGACCGATTAGCTTTAATTTAAATTAGGAGCTTTCTAGTGTTGGATACATAAGATCCAGCGTAATATTAAACTTTATTGCTTAATTTTGTCTTTTTCCTTTCATTAAAATCATAGAAATTTTTTTTTTCTTTTTTTTTGTCGCAAATGAAGCCGCTTCTTTCGCTTTGGAAAAAAGAGCAGAGAGTTACGGTGGAGACATTCAATATAAAAAAAAAAAAAACCGTACTATAATAATAAATGTAAATTTTACAATAAAGTGCACATTCATATATGCTCTCCACAATACAATAATACACTTATGTATATATGTTTGGTCGGTGCATAAGTATTGAAAAAAAAAAAAAATTCTTCTTGCTATAGTATTTTTTGTTAAATGTAAAGCAAATGAAACAAAACCTACATTCGAGCACAGCCATATTGTTATTTTTTTGTTTTTAATTTTTTTCATTTTTTCTTATTGTCGTTTGTTTTTCTTTGCGAACAGAAATCCACAACCGAGTCAGACATTTATCCAATGTGAGCAGCAGCAACAGCAGCAGCAACAAACAGCAATATGCTTAATTGTAGTTGACCTCATATTGAAGCTGTTACTGATGGATGAAATATACAACGAACACAACAATAAAAGAAAAAATAAATAACAAAAAGCTTAAAAATGCCAACGGTAGGTATTGCGCTGA